ACAGAGGCTGGGATTAAATGGGAGGACTGCTTGGGAATTTGCACGGACGGCGCATATACTATGGCGGGTAAACGGGGAGGATTGCAAGCGCTCATCAAGAGAGTCGCACCGAAAGCGCAGTGGACGCACTGCATTATACACTCACTGGCCACTTTATTAGGTACAGCTTGCTAGTACCGGGTTGGACCCCCTTTTGCCTTCAGAACTGCCTTAATTCTTCGTGGCATAGATTCAACAAGGTGTTGGAAACATTCCTCAGAGATTTTGGTCCATATTGACATGATTCATGATTGTCGGCTGTACATCCATGATGCGAATCTCCCGTTCCACCACATCCCAAAGGTGCTCTATTGGACTGAGATCTGGTGACTGTGGAGGCCATCTGAGTAAAGTGAACTCATTGTCATGTTCAAGAAACCAGTCTGAGATGATTTGAGCTTTGTGACATAGAGATGGTTGTGCGTGAAAATGCCAGTGGATCCGCAGTTTTTGAAATACTCAGACCAGCCCATCTGGCGCCAACAACCATTCCACGTTCAAAGTCACTTAAATCCCCTTTCTTCCCCATTCTGATGCTCGGTTTGCACTTCAGCAAGTCGTCTTCACCACATCTAGATGCCTAAATGCTTTGAGTTGCTGCCATGTGATTGGCTGATTAGCAATTTGTGTTACCAAGCAATTGAACAGGTGTACCTAATAAAGTGGCCGGTGAGTGTACATCGGGAAGCACTTGCATCACGGCAGTGAAGCCCTACGTTAAATTATGTTTTGTTTGAAGTTGTTATCGCGGTCAACTACATAAAAACAAGACCACTGAAATCACAACTTTTTTCCGCGCTCTGTGAGGAGATGGGCGCCGATCACACTGCTGTGCTGTTTCACAGTGAAGCGAGATGGCTCTCCCGTGGCAAAGTGCTGTCCAGAGGGTTTGAGCTCAGGGAGCAAATTCAAATTCTTCTGCAGGAAGAAGGCATGAACGAGCTTGCCAGCAAATTTGGTAATGAACAATTTCTAATGAAGCTGACATATCTCAGTGACATTTTCTCCAAGTTTAATCAACTAAACCTCCAGCTGCAGGGCAAAGACAAATACCTACCACATCTGGCAGACCAAGTCAGTTCATTCATCCAAAAACTGGAGATGTGGGGCAGGAAACTCGAGCAAGGAAATACAGAGTCTTTTGAAAATCTAACAACCTTTTCCAAAACTAACAAGCTCACCAAAAGCACAGTGATCCCATGTATTTTGGAACACATTTCTGCTCTGAGAGGTCATTTTCAGAAATACTTCCCTGACAACAGTGTGCAGTTCGACTGGGTGAGAGATCCATTCACTGCTCCAGCACCTGATGATCTGAGTTTCTCAGAAGAAGAGCAGTTCATTGAGATGACATCTGACTCAAGCATGAGGCTAACGTTCCCATTACAAACATTTTGTGAATTCTGGCTTGGTGTGGAGAGGGAGTTCCCACTGATAGGTCAGAAAGCTGTTGAAATTCTGCTCCCCTTTGCAACGTCCTATCTCTGTGAAACAGGGTTCTCTGCTGTTGCTTCACTGAAGAGGCGCCAGATTTTTTTATAGGTTTAAAGGGGGGCATGACCAAAAAAGTTTGAAAACCACTGTCTTAGACAGTGATGAGATTAAATGGAGAAAAAGAGATCTTAAGTGTGTCAAACTGTGTTCAGATTTGTAGTCTGAAATCAAAAGTCAAAGAGTTTTTAAAATGAACTCAAACAAATCTTGTCAAAGTCAGTTATTATGTGAAAAATTGTCCTCTGTATGCCACCAGTATTTGACTGGTCAGAAGTTTGGAATGATTGTGATTTTTTTTTAAATGTTTTTGAAACAAATATCTTGTGCTTACCAAGGCTGCATTTATTTGATGAAAAATGCAGTAAAACTGTAAAATTGTGAAATATTATTACAATTTATGATAGCTGTTTTATATTTCAACAGATTTTAACATGTAATTTATTTCTGTGATGCAAAGTTGAATTTTCAGCATCATTACTCCAGTTTTCAGTGTGACATGATCCTTCAGAACTCATTCTAATATGCTGATTTGGTTAAGTTTTGAGCTTTGAACAAAGTTCAAAAGAACAGAATTTATTTGAAATAGGAATAATTTGTAGCAGTTTAAAAGTCTGAAAATCTTTTGAAAATCTTAGTGACTCCAAACTGTTGCATGCTAGTGCCTAATTTTTTCTTGATATATAAAATAAGTGTGTATTTCTCTGAACAATCTAGGGTTTTTATATAATAGGATTTTGGATTAACTGCATTTTTTTTACTCCTTTTTTGCAAGTTGCTTTGGATAAATATGCATAAATCTGCTAAATAAATAAATGTACTGTACGTGTGAATGTCTTTTGAAGCCATACAATAGTCTTATGTGGTGAACGAACCAAAATATAAGTTCTTATTCGTTGAAAATCATAAGCACAATTCATTTAGACAATTTTTTCCAGGTGCTTTTTGACAGCCCCTGGTCTTTATATTTTGTCTTTGTATAGAAAAGAGCAGCAACAGTATTCTGTGTAACATTCCACAAAATCTAGAGAGACAGAATTTGGTTGAACTGTTTCTTTAAGTTCTGCTTTACCTCCATCTCTCCCCCGTTCCTGCACGCTGCTCTCTATCCTCACCTAATCTAATGAACATGGAGCTGGAGAGGTGTCTGCATGCCTACGCCTCTGAGACGCCATGCATAATTGTTTCTTTCTGTCTCTGCTGGCACCTAAGCTCATGTGTGAGAGGTGAATGGTCTGTCATACTCTTAATGAGCTCAACCCACTACAGTCAACTGTGCTCTGCCTGTTAGAGGAAACCATTTGCATTAACGAACAGAGAGAAAACACACACATCGCCTCACCTACCAATTACTGGTACAACCGACTACGGCGGGATCTCTTTGTGCATGTTTTGCATGTTTGTGTTTGCCCTTTGAGCATGTTTTTATGCATACAATGACCTTGTAATTCTGGAAGTGTACTGTGAGTTAAATGCGTTCTCTGTGTGTTTGAGAGTCTGGGCTTGTAATGCATGAATATATATTCAGGTGAGCAGATATTCTTATGGAGCGCTGCTTGACATTGCCCTAATGATGTCGTGTCACCCGGCGTCTACTGTGGCCCCACAGCCAATTAGCACAGACAAAGAGACTGTTTTACACACACAAGACAAATCAAATTACCCATCTGCCCTCATCCCTTGATCCCGTTCAGCCTCTGTTATTTATGATTCAGAGTCACTCGTTCATTTGGGCATCGTGGGAGCCCGGGGTGATGCTGCACGTGTGTGTTTGTAAAAGCACACAGGTCAAGAGTGTGTGCACTTAGCAAAGTATACTATCTTCACCTGGTCAAGTGTGTGAACCATTCTAGGAAGTGTTTTTTAGGCTGAATACAAAACAGTCATACTGTCTCTCTCTGCTTCAAATCATTTTGAAATGATAATACGATCTAAGAAAAAAGTACAAAACTGTCGCTGGGGCGGTACCCTTTCAAAAGTTTCAATCAACCTGAATTTACCTACTAATTGTACATTTTAGGTGCTAATATGTACTTTTAAAATACTAATATGTACTATTTAGGGGTAAATACAGAGAAAATACCAATTTGAATTAGCTTTTATCTTTATATTTTTTTTCATTCTATTTTTCATTTATTGTTTTATTGTTTTATTTATTGTTTAAATATTACTATTTTTTTTTTTTTACAGTTTTAGTTCAGTTTTGGTTTTTATTTATTTTATTATTATTTTTATTTATTAGTAATTTAAGTGCTTAAACTATTTCAGTTTTCCATCTAGTTAACAATAATAGCCCTGGCATCCATACTCTTTCCTGTGTCCATAAAAGCTCTCCAAATTTTGTCCATATGCAAAAGTTATCCTAAACTTAAAGCTAAAATACAGAGTCATTCTGCAAAGTTTCAGAGTATGTGAATTGCTTCAGATCTGTTTTAAGGGGCTGTGGGTGGATTAAATGTATTGAGACGCTGTGTTCATTTTTGCTCATTTATACATTTCAATCACTTGTGCGTTAGTCCACCAGCTGGGGTTCAGAGGTGTGTGTTTGTCTGGGGAGGGGGTCATTCTGTAAACTCTAGTTAGACTGAACGTGGCTTTGACATGGATCTGATTAGGTCTCTGCAGTGAGCTTCAGAGCTGCTGTAATTAAGCTGTCAGTCAAACGCAGCTTACATGGGGAGGAAATAAATACCAGCAAAGAATGTGGGAGGAACCTTATTATTTTGATTTTATAGGCCGATTTGCTATTCTTTTATTCTTCCTGTACAAATGTTTGATATAGTACTGTGTTATTTTTAATGTGCTATGTAGTGCAAAAACGTTTAATTGTGACTTGGGTCTTGTGTCATTCAGAATTCAGAATCATACCGAGAATGGTGTTCAAATTCCAGTTCAGTTCCTGCTGTTCCAAGCTGTAGAATTGACCTTTCGCAGGGAGCTTGATTGACAGGCGATCTGACCAATCATAACGCCGAATCCGCTATTTTGTCCGACAAACCAGACAGGAGAGTAGATTAATGTTGGTGTACTTGACGTTTTTCCGCGTTTTAAATAAAATACCTTCTGATGTTCATTCATGTTTATTTCGTGGCTTAAGTAACTATGAAAAGATGATCAGTTCATGTGCCGCTTGAACTGAGGCGCTACAGCGATCTGTCACGACACATTAAAGAGCCACAAAACTGTATTTATTGTTTGAATTTCTCAAAAAATGACAAAATTTGAAAGCTAAGACTTTGTTTCATATGAGAAGTAACCCGCTCCGTCTTGTCTGTCGGCACGTTGTCAGATTCCTCTTTGCTCCGTGAAGGGTCAGTTGTAGTTTGTATTTATGGATGTACTTTTAAAGAAGTGTAGTTCTTAATATTATCTCTTATTTTTCCTTAAATGTTAGATGATATGAACAAATAAATGTTAGGAATGTTTGTTCTTTTTCTATTAAGATTTTTCTTTGTGTTTTTCTTGGTCAGGTGGTGTTCGAAGGTATCCGTGGAAACGGCTTTGAGGGAGACATCGCTATCGATGATGTTTCTGTTACCAAGGGGAAATGCAAACAAAAGGATAGCGTGGACAAAACAGGTCTGTACCATCAGTGATCAGTGACACACCTCTCAGCCTTGATGCTTCAGTAATGAACTTCATTATATCCCTTCATGTAGATGTAGGTGACTAAAAGCCCACGTTACCCGTCAACGTTCAGATTGTTTTTTTTTTGTTTTGTTTCGTGAGTCTTAAAGCAAAGGAAAAGACAAAAACCTGTGAGTAATGAAACAGCACTGAGAACTGACCTTAAACCAATCACCAATTTAATCATCCTTATGTTTTTCCAAGACTTACTTTCTTCTGTTGAACAGAAATGGAGAACATTTAAAGTATTGTTTTGGTCTCTATTCCATGCACTTAAAAAGAATGGGGACTTTGTTTTAAGTTCAAAAAGGGTGAAAAAGTATCATAAATGTATATAAGTAATCCATACAATGCAAAGTTTGAAGTCATACAAATCTATACTCTCTAGCTCTTCTTGGTAAATATTCATGAGAAAAGTGATGCCTGGTTTGTGAAAAAAAGAGAACAAATTACTTAGACAAAATCTAAAACTCAGACATGATTCAGAAGCCCAAACGAAGCTAAAATGGCTGATATTTATCTGGCCAAAAGTCAATTAGATTGTTTTATAATAGTAGTTTTTTTTGGTATATTATATCAGACTAAGTTACTTACATAAAATGCATATAGATATCAGTTGTCACTCTGTATCTCGCAATAATATGTCTTAGTAAAATTATATTTAAATGCTTAGTTTTATGATTATATTTAAATGCTTAGACCCTTCACAAGCCCAAACGAAGCTAAAATGGCTGATATTTATCTGGCCAAAAGTCAGTTAGATTCTTTTATTTCAGACGAAGAAGTGAATGATGTGCGCTACCGGCGCCTATTTTGTACTAGTCGCGGCGGTAGTGACGTCATGGCTGTCGCCGGCCAAACAAGTTGGTGTTTTTTCAATGTAGGCTTCAGACACGGGTCACGACGAGGCGTTCCCCATAGCGACCCCTAGAGGACGCAGTGTCTCGTTCCCCTCAGGGAACCATGGTTACACAAGTAACCCGAGACGTTTTTTTTTGGTATATTATATCAGACTAAGTTACTTACATAAAATGCATATAGATATCAGTTGTCACTCTATATCTCGCAATAATATGTCTTAGTAAAATTATATTTAAATGCTTAGTTTTATGATCAAAGCTCTGTAGTTTTTTTTATTGTGGGGGCAAAACATATAATGCAATGCAGTATAATGATTTAGAGATAAACCAACTTTCCTCAAAAATATGATGTATCATATCTGATACTCACATTTGACCTTGATTTGTTTGATAAATTATGTATAGATAATCAATTAAATCTAAGTTCCTTCAGTCCAGTAACTGTTCATCTTGAAATATTACTTAAAATATAAAAGTTTACTTTATAAAAAATCAGTAAAGATTTCACAGCAAAAAAGACCACAACCTAAAGGTGGGCATTTTAAAATTATACTAAAAGGCCTTTTATTTGCTAAAAAGGTATGAACTCAACTCTCAGTCTGACAAGAGAAGGCCTGTAGTAGATTGTGTACAACAGGCTTTTCAGCAAAGGTTTGATCATGATGATAATTCATAGATCTTTAGAAATTTGCATATCAAATATGCTACAGCAGGCTTTATAGGGTTTAGAGTTCACTGGAGGTGAAAATAATGACTGAAATAATTATATTTAAATCTTGACTTCGGAAGAATGGAAACACAAATCAACTCTTTTTATGATCTTTTATGGTGCTTTTTCGTTCTTCTTTGAGCTTTTAATAATACAGACAGAATATCAAACGGTTTGAAATGACATGAGGGTGAGTAAATGATGACAGAATTTGAATTATTCCTTTAACTCCATTACAACAGGAAGGTTTTAGAGATGAACTGTCAATGAGTAAGATGTGCCAGGACTGTGAGCGTGCAGGAGAGATGCCGCACCATTGCGGGGTTGCTGATGGTGGAGGCAGCAGCTGTAGTGGGCTGCAGGGGCTCGGGCCCGGGGCCCAGCTCTGACAGCTCTGGCTTCTTCTCACCTCGTGCAGCCCTCTGATGGTGCGGCAGGCCTCGGGTCTCCTCCTGAATGCTGATCTTGGCACATGATGGGTGTGAATGCATGCACACAGACAGGAAAAGGCCCAGTGCCAGACTCTGAGAGACAGAGAGAGACAGGGCAGTTGTCCAGAACACCATCCCCCTCAAAACCCACCAGATGAATTGATAAAATATCATTCTCATTACTGTAATGCAGGAAGATATATGGTTTAATCTATGCTTTAAAAATGCATATTATGGTTGATTAATCATGTTATCAATATCTGCCTCTGAATGGACATACAGTACTGATCAAGTTTGTTTTAATGTTTTTGAAAGAAGTCTCTTTATCTAATCAAAGCTGCATTTATTTCATCAAAAATACAGTACAAAAGAGGAATAATGTGAAATGTTATTACAATTTAAAATAACTATTTTCTATTTGAATATATTTTAACATGTAATTTATTTCTCTTTTTTTTGTGATCAACATTTTATTTGAGTTTAATTTCCATATCAAGGACATAGTCAAAACCATTTGTCCATAAATATAAATAAATAAATAATATAATATAAATAAATAAATAAATTACACATTCACGCACATATGCATACACAACTTAGGTCAACACACTCACAATGTCAACGTTTCAGCTTATCTAATAAAATTTCTGCAATTATTGCCAATATAATTTATTTCTGTGATACAAAGCTGAATTTTCAGCTTTATTACTCCAGTTTTTTGTCACTTTTTGACCAATTTATTGTGTCCTTTCTAAAGTATTAATTTCTTTCAGAAAAATAGTAACTACTTATGATACTAACTTTTGAACAGCAGTGTAATTGAAATACATTATATTATTGTGGCATTGTATTTCTATTATTGTATTTCCATATAATTGAACATGACTATATGACTTTTTTTCAATTCAATTCAAGTTTATTTGTATATCGCTTTTCACAATACAAATCGTTGCAAAGCAACTTTACAGAAAATTAAGTTTCTACAATATTTTTTTAAACAAAGCTGGAAACTTTTTTTGTAAAAAAGAAAAAAAGAAGAAAAAAAAAATACTGTTTCTTCTTATTTATTTATTTATTTATTTATTTTTCAAACATGACCTGGACATATTTTAATTAGAATCACCCAAAAATGAATCTTTTGAATTTTTTTATTTTTTTACTGTGACGCATAAGTCTGACTGACTGTCTCACAATGTTTCACTGACATAAAGTCTATGAAGATAGAAGGAAACACTTCTTCTGTACGATGGATAAATATAGACTACAGCACTGCTGCCGTTATTTCACAAAAAAATGAAAGCTTTTGTGGAAACAATTTAAGTGAAAAAAAAAAGCTTTATTTATTTTTTTATTTTTATTTTTTATTATTATGAGCTAGGGAAGAAATCTACCAGCCACCTCAAGCGTCATCTGCAAAGTTCCAAAGCATACATCAAAACCACATTCAGTGTCCATGGCAGCAGCTCCTTGTCAGCTAACCCTGAAGATACAGACACTCCAGCAGAGGGAAGCTCACCCTGGTACCAGAAACAAATTATGAAACTTCAACATTGCCCTTTACACAGCATTATGCTTATTATATCTACAGAGACATACAGCAAGTCAAAAACAATATATATGTGAAATATCAATATAAAGGTAAAGTAAAGATAAATATGAAGAGTAGTATATGAGCAAATAAGAATATATGAATATGACTAGATGATTGTATATAGATAATGAATTAATTAAAAGACTATAAAGATTGTAAAACACTGTTCATTTGGCCTTCCTTCCAGAGAGCAAAAATACAATGTCCATGATTACTCTAGGCATGAGACAGATCCACAACAATCATCCTCAGAAATTATAAGATATACAATTATCAAATAATTATTTAGATCTGGACAAGAACAATTCATGAAAAATAAAATAAAATAAAAAATAATATATACTATTACAACCAGTAACCGTCCTTAAAAATGACCTCACATGCACAGTGCTTCATGTCACACAGTCTTGTATAGAATAATTTCTTGAGTCAAAGACCTGAATCCCCATCACATTTTCAGGGCATAGTGATTTTTGATAGATTGAAGATTTGACCTTCTTGTTCTGAATATTAAAAATGGCAAAACCCTTATTCTTACTCAGTGAAACCTGTCAAGAACATGTCCTGGTCATATTTCATACCAAAAAGACATAAAATATTACATTTTGCTTAAAGAAAATGAAGCCAGTTTTTTAGGACTATTCGATATTTTTGCGTGTTTGCGTGACATAGTGACAATAATGCACATTTCACCTTCTAGTTCATATTGCCATAATGGAAAACATCTCATTCTTTTTAGTATAATGTGAAAAATAATGATATATTATTTAAATGTTACACTGGTTAATATAGATAATAAAACAAACTCTCAAAAGTAAAATATGTGGTTGCATTACAGTAATAAAAATAGGCTTATATATTTCAGGGATATATGTTGAAGGAAAATATTTATTTTTGTAATTCTGTTTGGTTGAGACATTTTTTTATTGAATTACAGAGTTCACTAAATGATCTTAAATTATTATCATACAAATTCAGAAGAGTTTTATCTAATTAGGCTTCCTTTTAACTGCTTAATTTGCCAGATGGTCTCACATTTCAAAGCCACATCTCAATTCTTTAAGTCACATATTATGCAATGTCATTTTTTAAATGAACAGCTAGGATTTAGCTAATTCACTTTTTTTTAAATTTTTTTAATTGATACACCAGCTGTTAACCCTGACGTTTATACCACACAGTGAACAAACTGTGTAGTTTCCTTTTTATTAGCATTATTTCTATGGTATTTTTTTACCTTAAATGGGTAGTAGACATTCAGGAGTGTAGGAACTATCTGAAGAGTTGAGGAAACACAATGTAAACCTTGTCATCATGAATATTAATTAGAAGGTGTAACATCATCTCAGCTAATTTGCTGAAAGGCATGTAAGCAAGCATCAGGTCTATAGAATGGTTCAGCCAACTTTTAACACTGTTATTTGGCTGTTTGGTTTTAATGCCAGTTGCGGTTTTTTTTTCTCTTGCTGCCAAACAAAACAAAACAATTATCTCCCAAATTGGAAAATGACCCGAAACAGATTCACCCGCATATACAGGCACCACTGTGCGATGTGCCAAAGCATGTGCACTGCCCGCAAGGCATTAGTTTCTTCTGACAGTAACACGTACGGGCATTTTCATATACCAATCCACATAGCTCCTACTGCTCCAGCCTGATCTTTTTTTTTTCCAATTTTAAATTGTTAAACACCTCAGGAAGCTGTCATGGTAAAGTGAAAAAAAATCTCCATTATTATTTCAAGTTCTAATATAATCTTATACATTAGTCTCTGGAAGAGTACAGCTCTGCTCTCTCCTCTGTACCTGGGTCGGCATGAACACTGGTGTTATATCACACACACACACACACAGTAAAACCTGTTCATGCCGCCCACGGGTGCTGAGCTGTGCTTACACACAGGAAAGTGTAACGTGAGCAGCGTGCGGTGCACCGCAGGGCAGAACAAAAGAGCCAAATTAATGATTAAGATCAGTCATTGTGAAAGCTCCCTCACAGAGAGAATATTCCAGCTCTCAACCGCACGGATTGCTGATAGCTGTTGTTTGTTTGGGGAAAGTTGTGGGCATGTGTTAGCTATGTATGTTAGCTTGCAGGCTCTGTCTCTGACCCATGAGGCTTTGCTATAGAGGATATGTGCATTCATCAATGAAACTCCTCTCCTCTTTGATTCCTTTATGTTTTTCAGGGTCTTTCCTGTTATGCAGTACATTTGGAACTCTGTGGGTATAACAGACTTTCAGAAGTCTGTGATTAAGCTGGTAAACTTTCAACAGGTTTATTATTTACACGATTAATAGGAAGGGTGCCTAAAAAGATGGGAATGAAATGCTACAGCTAGCTGTGCATAAGTTCATTTTGATTTTTTTTTAATAGTCTATCTTACCAATTTCTGAGATTTCACTCAGGAAGTGTGAACTATTTTAAAGTGAGACAAACCAGCTAAAGCCACAAAACCAGAATTTGTCAGATTTCTAATAGACAGCTGCAGGGATGATGTATTTTTGTTGGCCAAAACATGGAAAGGAGTTTGCATTTGAGCACTTTTGGTTCAATCGTACTAAAGTCAATCACCTGAAAGATGGTCTGTGGTAAACACAAGCTCAGGATATTATCATGTTTTATTCCATGATATTAAATACATCAGTAAAACTGCCTTGGGCACGCTTTCACGTGTCTTGAAAATGGTTGCTAACGAGTGTCTAAATGGGACTACAGAGGTTGTTAGGGACATTAAACATCATCAGACCAAACAGGTGAACTCATCTACTCATTAGTCTGCTTATACAGCCTCTTGAGAGTTATTTTAACTCAAACTTTCAAGGAAATGTTTTTTAAATAAAGACTAAAAGAGTTGGCTTAGTGTTGGTGATGCTGAAGTCAATTAACTGTGGTGTAGTTTGTTTATAGCCTATAGCCTACATTTAGCTTTTTACTTCTGGCGGTTGGCTTCAAAATGTATAAAAGTTGTGTAATTTGTGAAGTCTATCATAATGAGCAAAATGTACAGGAATCATAAACTTCTGTTGGTCACAGAGCTTATTTTCTGCAATAATCTAAAATCCAGTAGAAAAAAATCTTCTTGACTTTTTGTTGAGGGAACCAGGGTGATGCTAACTTCCAGACTGGCCTACAAAAATGTCTCATCACTGCAGCACAGCGCTCTATACTTAGTGATGCTAATGCTGGTTTTGCCTCCAAAATGATATCACTTCCTGTATGATGATGTCAATAAGGAACTGGTTTATGTTAGTTAAGGGATTTTGCTAACTGGATGGAAAGTGATATTGTGCACTCAGGACTCCAAACAGGAAACCAATATTCTCAAGAAAACTTTTTTTTTTTTTTTTAAATATTCATTAGTAAGTGAACAAATGAAGAAACAATTGGAATATTTCTTAATAAATTGCCAGTTTTTCTAAAAACTAGATAATATGATTTTCATGTTGAGTACTGCAAATGTACTGCATAGCCAGAATGACGATGGTTTCTTCTGCTCTCCTCTGGCCTGTTCTGCTCGGGGTGCTGCCCATGGGTGCTCAACCGTGAGCTGTTCCTCCTTTAGAGATGAATGATGATTGGCTCTGACGTCCCATGTGTTACCGCGTCCCCATAAATCACACCTTGACTGGGATTTGGCTGTAGGGTGGAAAGGCGGAGCAGGCAGAACAAGAGAAGAAGTATGTGCGATTTGAAACGAAGGTGACCTGTTGAATCGGAATTAGAAATCTGAAGACCCCACAGCACACACACAAACATTGAAATTTGTTACGGTGCCACTGACTGTTGATAGATCAGTTTTTGAACTCTTAAATAACTAATTTCCCTCTCTCTTTAATTATAGGTTATAATATTAGACTTGTTATTTTGCTTCGCAGGTGCATAAGTAGCCTGCCTCCACACACACACACACACACACACACACACGTACACCCACTCTCAAAATTACCCGCCTCCTTCAAAAGTCCTTGAGAGAGATGTCACAGCTCACACAATCTCGTTCTTTATTGAAAAGGAAGAATAAAAAGCTTTATTATGAATATATTGATTTCCTGCTATAGCCAGAGAAATCCTTGATATAAATTCATATAGATTTTTTTTAATACAATACCTGCTCTTAATTTATTAAACCTATTTTGTTGGCAGCTTGTATGCATAATTAAATGCACACGTGTATGTGTTGTGTGTCTGCTTCTCAAACAACACTGCAAGCATGTTTGGTCCAGCCCTCATCATCATCTAAGGCCATTTCCTGTGAGCTATGCCGAAAGATATTACTCAACGTTACCTCTGAGACATAATGACTTGTAATTGTCCTCTCGCAGGTCATCCGTCTTCTGTAGCTCACAGATATTACCGCTTATGGCCTCTGGTTCAGTCATATGATGATGCCAGCCGCTGTAACCCCATCTGTCTGATCCATTATTTCAGTGTCCCGCGCTCCTTTGTGCCAAACACTCAACAGGAGCACAAAACCATTTACGATAGCATCCCAAGTTCCCTTCTAAAAGGGGTCTGACCCTGCAACTGTTGTGTGGTTAAGGTTGAGATGTTTTTCTTAAGAGCATTTTATGAACTACATATTGAGGTAAATTGCCCCATTTTGGAGCAATTCTGAATTAGATTTGCAATGCTTTAGGCCTTGAACCAGTCACTTGAACCAGCATGTACAGCTCTCAGTTTGTATAAAATGCAAGTCATAGGTCACATTCACTGTCAGAAATAATGTGCAAAAGTTGTACCTTTACAGCTACAACAGCTTGTCACTGGGGCAGTACCCTTGAACAGGATATTAGTACCATAGAGTAGTAATATGTACTACTAGTTTACCCAAAAATGAAAATTCAATCACCATTTACTCACCCTTAAGTTGTTCCAAACCTGTATGAGTTTCTTTCTTCCGTTGAGCACAAAAGAAGATATTCTGAATAATGTTGGTAACCAAAGAGTTGGTGGTAGCCTTTGACTTCCATAGTATGGATAAAAAAAAAAATCCAATGGAAGTCAATGGCTACCATCAACTGTTTGGATATTAGCATTCTTCAGAATATTTTCTTTTGTGTTCAACAGAAGAAAATAAACTCATTTTGGGTGAACTATCCCTTTAAGGTCCTACCGTGAATCTTTTAGGGGTACAAGGTTTTCCCTTTATGGGTACTGCCCATAAATATGGGTATTTTTTTTCAGAGAATGTTGGTTTTAGTACTTCTCACATATAATACTTAGATATAATAAAATAGCAATTGGTTTCTCAGGAATGAGCTTTTGTAGAATTGTTGCATTCAAATGTTTAATTGTGCAAAGTGTTGTCCTGAAACACCAAAAAAAATGTGACCAACAAAATCCCTATCAAAAGTGCCTTGGAAATGATTTGGCCAATTTTTTTTTGGGGGGGGTGGTTTTTTTAACCTTGCCGAACAACCGTTTTCATATGGATGCTTCATATTCAAAGCAGTCCTATAGCTTAACAATAAGGTCATGGGTTCGAATCCCAGGGAATGCTTGGACTGATAGAAATGTATATTCCTTGAATGCAATGCAACTTGGATAAAAGCATCTGCCATATGCATAAATATACATATTATTTCGGAGAAACATCTGAGATATTTCAGTGCAACATAGATGAGAGCCCCATTAAGTCTCCTGAACTATCAGAGAGCATCTTTTGAACAATTTCTTCTGGAGCTGTCACGCTCATGTAGGAGATGCAGCTTTGAATCCCACTCACTCCCACAATACTTTTATGTCCATTTTCCACTGTTCTGTCAATACAAAGTGACAAATGCACAACAATAAAGAAGTTGTTGTGTAATAGAATGCCTGTCTTTATGTTTACAGCAGTTCTGTCTGGGACACACCAGAGTCTTCACCTTCTTCCTGTGATCGTCCAGCTGCTCTGCACCATCTTTCTGACATTCCTCCTCAGATGATACAGATACCCCTCAGCACACACACCGCCAGTGTAGGACGCCCCCACGGCAGCAATAAGAACTGCCCCAAAACATGACCACCCTTCCTGCTACTGCCTCCATTTCCTCCTGTTTCTCATTCCCTTTGTCCCGGCTGCACACCTCCTCTTACCATTCGAGTCTACTGTTTCTTTGGTTTCTTGTCATCTTTGTGGTCACTTGTTGAGCTTATATCTGCTAAGTGGCACCTTTTATGTTTTATGTAAGCATAATTTATGTTAATTTTGTTCATTTCTGTCCATATGTCTTGACATCTTCATCTCAGTCACCCGTGTATGTATCTGACACACCAAAGTGTCAATTATAACCAAAGATGACGGAGGGCTTACAGGATGAACAGACGGCTGAAAGAGCAACAAGGACGTCCTTTCCCCAAATGAACTACTCTTTCCACAGACTCAAGTGCATGGAGATGTGATTTTCTTAAGACACTCAGATTGCAAGGAATAACGAGAGCCGGAACGGATGAGTGAAACAGGTGGTCACGAAGTTACTGATGACCTGAGTGGACCTGTACATGCACGTGTACATGATATATTGGAAAGTATCAAGCTGCAGAAAGGACAAACGGACTCCGACTGCAACTTCTAGGACTATGACAATGTGAAACTAAAGAAGCACAAATTGATATATATATATTTTTTTTGTAGTTATTTTGGTTCCTTTACTTGGTATCCCGTCAGTCTGGGTTTGCTGTACTCTTCTTGACCTTTGGCTTTCTTTACCAGAAACCGTGTGTCACTGCTGAAAACGACACAATGTGAACTTTGGACCAGAAGAGCATCAGTTACCTCACCCTCAATCTACAAGAACCATAACGCACCTGGACAACTTATGAGAATGATCACTTTTAGCTTCAATAAAACTGCCGGGAGAGTGTTGACTCACTGGGTCAGTCGTTCTCGTTCAGCAATAGGACCGTACATCTGACTGCAATGAATATTATTTGGACACATAGACTCCAACAGATGGACGCCTCTGGACAGACAAACTCCACTCTTGGCTTTGATGATCAAGAATGTCATTTTGCATAGTGTTAGAGAGAATCGCATGTGCGTGCAAGCTCTTCAAGGGGTGCCATTGACAAACTTCAGACGTATTTTATTTTGGAAGTTTTGAGATGGCAAACAAACAGTGTTGACGTGAAAAGTCACGATGTTCCTCATTGAAGCATCCTACAGTAATGCTGCATTCCATTTACATCGGAAAGTTGGAATTTCCAGCTTCCTACTTGGAAAATTGCAATAGAATGCCACTTGAAGTCACTTGAGCTTGAAAATCCTTTTGGTGAGATGCACTTTTAAGCAAATAAAATACATCAATAGGTCAAAGTTCTTACATTAAATGATGATAAAACATGTTTAGCAAATGTCTGCAGATAAATGATCCTCTAAGATGATAATCATACACCTGCAGATCAAATGCTAGTACTGCGGTGCATCATTTATGCTCAACTTTGGCTGCTAGGGACTTCTTTGTTGACAATCAATATCTGTACAGCAAACAGTAGCATTGCCATTTTATTTTCTTATATATCATCTTCCAAACTTTAGAGAGGGGAACGCCTTCATGCTTGGAAGTCAGAGATACCAATTAGGAATATCCCACATCTGACTTTGAATGGAACGCAGCATAAATCACAGATGCCAATGGTTTAAGATTCAGATGCAATATGTTATAAATTATTTTACCTTCAAAAGATTCAAAATGTACGCTACCCTCCCTGGAACTCTTTTTAAAATATGTCACATCAAGTTAAATAACATTTAAGCACATGGTTAGAGTTCAGTAGCAATATGTGATTGTCAGATGGGTAAGCAAACTACCAGGACTGTGTGTGTTCGATCCTTTCTGAAAGCTCAAGTACATCATCACTGCAAGGGAAGGGCAGGCACAGAAGAATAAGAGCATATGACGAAAAGAAGGAACCATTTGTGCCTCTGTTTGAGTGTCCTTTATCAGATTTGCATATGCTTAGATGTTATGGTGCAATCGTGTATTCAGTATATATTTCAATTGCTTTGCTCTAGTATTACTCATACTCGTAGTTCCATCCACAGTGGAGCTTTTAGGTAAGTTGGTTTACAAACATAAAATGCGCAAAATGATTTTCCGGCTTGTAATATTCGCTCACGCTCATATTTAACCAGTTCATATTTATCCTAATGTGGCGTACGTCTGTCGCTGTTGAAGAGATTATCATAGACTCGCTCCTCAGGTAATTCCATATGTAACAGGGACAGGGCCTGGAGTACTTCAACCCCAGTCCAGGTTCTCCTACAGTTAAAGACACTCCCGCGGCTGTAATACTGTTCCTCATGTTTGTTACCGTAAACGCTCTGAACTCTTGCACAATGCCTTCACTACATGTCATGTATAAACAGCTATCGTTTATAATCCATGCTAAGTTTAGTAGGACCTACTACAGGACACAAACGATTAGATTTAATGCAAGAGGGAAAATGAGATCGAAACAATAAATGGAGGGTTATCATTTTATGTTGCAGGATAGTACATTACGTATTCCAAATGTTTCCTTTTGTTTCTTTTAGATATTCCTACATGTGCTTGGTGACATCCCAATATTATCCAGAAGCCATCATCCTTGACTGTGACTGTTTGTGTTAATCTTTGGTTTTGTATTCAAACCATATCTCATTGTTTCATTTAAATGGATCTGGCGTACAAACTCTGCATTTACAACTATGGTTTGAGGCAAAGGCGGGATCTAAATACTAAATACTTAATATATGATTAAGATGGAAGTTTTATCATGCAATTCAATGTCGAATTGTTATAAGCTCAAATAGCACAGAGAGTGCACCATCACCCCGATGATGAGCAAATGAATGTGAATGTTAATTTAATTAGAATGTGAAATCTTACTGGCCAGGATTATTTGCATTGTAAATGTGCAAAATTCAATGGAATGGATTTAAATATGGCATGATGTGTTAAGGTGCTTTGCTTAAGAATATCAGCATAGTAAAATTTGCCAAAATATATAATAAATGAACACAGAAGAGCCAGGTATATGTAGAAATTGGTGAATGATGGCTGGGAATTCCATGCTGGCTTTTTTTACTGGCTACATTCACATGACCGAATACAACAGAACATATGAAGTTTGAACGCATCTTTAAGAATTGAATTTTTGTTCTAAAATGTTTGACATTTTGGAACATTCTGAAAGATTTCATCCTTAAAAATTCTGTGGTTTGGTTAATTTCCTTGCATTTCCCCCCCTCCCAAATACTTAAAGGGTTAGTTCACCCAAAAATGAAAATTCTGTCATTAATTACTCACCCTCGTGTTGTTCGAAACTCGCAAGACCTTCGTTCATTTTCGGAACACAATTTAAGATATTTTTGATGAAATATGAGGGCTCTCTC